TGTGTGTGCGTGTGCGTGCGTGTGTGTGTGTGTGTGTGTGTGTGTGTGTGTGTGTGTGCGCGCGCACGTGCAGGGTCTTGTGCCAGGTGGTAGTGGCGCTCGTCTTTAATCCCAGCACTCGGGAGGCAGAGCCAGGCAGATCTCTGTGAGTTCGAGGCCAGCCTGAGCTACAGAGTGAGTTCCAGGACAAGCACCAAAACTACACAGAGAAACCCTGTCTCAAAAAAACAAAACAAAACAAAACCAAAAAACAGGGTGTTGCTGTGAAGCCCTGGCTGGCCCAGAATTCCCTACGTAGAACAGGCTGGATGACACCTGTCGACTCGCCCTCCTGAATGTGTCCTTGGATTACAGGTTTGTACCTTGGAGTTCTTTTCCATTTCGTTGCACCAGAAGTTGTTATCTGGTCCATCCAACGACATATTAATACAGTTCACAAATTCTAATTCACTACCTACCAAGGCTCTGGTAACTTCACAAAGTAAACTGTGGAGAACTGGAAGGTAGGATTAAAAAAAAAAATTGCTGAGAACTAAGAAGATCACAAAGGTTTCTCTGAAAAGCTGTAAGAGAAGAGACTGAAGTGGCAATATAACCAAAAAGCAAAAACACCTCCTGAGGACTAACATGATTTCATATGTACAAATACAGGTATGCTGGAGGTCCATATCCAGGCTGTCGGCATTCTAGGCCTAACTACCACAAACCTCGTATTTCCCCGATTTATTGATGCCTGTCGGGATTTCCATCATTTACATTTTTAATAAAAACCACCTTAGGACTGAAATTGTGCACTGGGAGTGGACGACATGCCTCATTCTAAACAGACCAAAAGCCAGGACTTCATCTTCGGACACTGCTCCCAAGACTGCACGGTCACGATGCACCAGAGCCCAGGTTATTAGCGGTTGGTTAAGCATTATACCCGCCTGCCTCTAGACATTCGCGGCCGACTGCTCGAAGCCCCTCCCCTCCTTCCTGATTCGCTGCCCCCGCGATCGTCCCGCCTCCCCACCGTCCAGATTGGCAGCTTAGCCGCCCTCGCAGTTAGCGCGCTTGGCGAGAAGCTGCCACGCCCGCGACGCGAGCTGAGCTGCGGAGGAGACGATGGCGAGCTTGGCGTTGGCGATTCGGGGTCGAGCAGGCGTCTGGGCTATGAGGGTCCTGCAAACCAGAGGCTACGCCTCGGACTCGGTAGGTGGCCGCCCGACCCACCGCCCATCCCTGGGCGCGGGTCCTCTCTTCCGTGTTGTGCCTTTTGCCATGTCTACGTCTCTCTCTGCAGTCGGAGAGCATGGACTCCGGCGCTGGCTCCATCCGGGAAGCCGGTGGGGCCTTCGGAAGGAGAGAGAAGGCCGAAGAGGAACGGTACTTCCGGTGAGGCCCACCTGATCCCAAGTCCAGCCCCCATCGCCCTCCCTGTCCTTTCTACGCCCTCTGTCGCTCCACGCATCTTTACCTGGTCCCTTGGGACGCCCATCCTCTGGCAGGATTCCCAGGCCGGTGAAGCCATTGTGTCTCAACAAGGTTGAGACATTTAACATCAGGACCTCACAACTGGCTCTCCACCAGCCCCAAACCGGTCTGCAGGACTCAGCCCAAGGCGCGTCTCCTAATGTATCATTAGCTATCATATTCCTCGCCCACGGTCACCCCCTCCGCACCCCTGGCAGTGCGAGACCCCCCAGGCGCTTTGAACGGTGTTTACATCCAACCAACCGGCCAGAAAGAGCAGACCCTCTGAGTCTGTCTCACTCGCCGTTTTTTTCTCCCCAGCCGCCCCCCGCGCGCCCACTAGTTTTCTAAGGCCGCGTTCATTCCCTGAAACCTCACTAATGTCAGCCATTTCTAGATCCTCCACGCGTCTTCATTTCTTCGCAAGAGCAAGGTTCTTAGCTGCTGGGACTACCTGCTCAAAGTTAGACTTTACCCCAAGCCGGGAGACTTTCGCCCTACTCAGACCCTGAGTGGCAGATTTCTCTTGACTGCTTAGAAAGAGGGAGTGGACTAAATCTACCGACAACCTTTTCCCAACCCTGAGTTATCTGTAGCTAACGTCTGCCCACGCTGGAGAGCAGCCAGGAACCAGTCTCGCTTCCGTTTCTCCTTGGGTCTTGTGCTACTTACGGATCGTCCTCGGCCTATAGGGATTGTTGCTCAGTTGTGAACTAAGAGTTTAAACGTGCAGATGCCCGGGGTTCGAGTCTCAGTACCAAAAAAACAATTGTCAGGATAACAATTCTCCTGCCTCAGCCTCCTAAGTGCTGAGATTGGGGGCATACCGCCGCTCCTGGCTTGGAAGCTCTATCCTTTACCTTAGGTATTACTGTTTTGTTGTGTTGGGTTTTCTTTTAAAGATTTACTTTATTTTTAATTCTGTGACTGTATTTGGATATGTGCACATGAACACAGATGCCCGGGGAAGCCCGAGTCAGTGGCTGCCCTGGAACTAACGTTACAAGCAGTTGTGAGCAGCTGAAGGAGGTGCTGGGAACCACGCTGAGATCCTCTGCGAGAGCAATGTGCAGGGCCTGGAGAGGTGGCTCGGAGTAAGAGCACTGACTGCTCTTCCAGAGGACCCAGGTTCTATTGCCAATGCCCAATGAGTCTAACAACTGTCTACAGCTCCACTTCCATGGCACCCCACGCCCTCTTCTGGCCTACATGGGCAATGCATGCATTTGGTGCATAAACATACATGCAGATGCCAGGTATGGTGCATACCTTTAATCCCAACCCTCTGAAGGCAGAGGCAGGAAAAGCTCTCAGAGTTTGAGGCCAGTCTGGTCTTCCTATCAAGTTCTAGGACAGCCATACATAGAGACCCTGTCTGGAGGGGGAGGAATTGCAGGCAAAACACTCATATACATAAAACAAAAATAAATAAATCTTGGGGCTGGAGAGATGGCTCAGAGGTTACAAGCACTGGATGCTCTTCCAGAGGTCCTAAATTCAACCACATGGTGGCTCACAACTATCTATAATGAGATCTGGTGCTCCCTTTGGTTTACAGGCATACTTACAGGCAGAGCATTGTATACATAATAAATCTTTTTTTAAATCTTTTTAAAAAAAGCTGATTATGGTTGTGTACATCTTTATTTAAACGTGTGTGTGTGTGTGCATACATGCATGCATGCTTGTACCAAGTATGTGGGGACCCTCAGAGGCCAGGCAGTAGATCCCCTGAAGCTACAGTTATATGTAACCTGAGTTTTCTACGAGAACAATCATTGAGCCATATTCACAGTCCCAACTCAGTAAGCTTAAATTAGGAACTTATCCAAAGACAATTGGATCCCCTAGAGCTGGAATTACAGATGGTTGTAGGCCACCATGTAAGTGCTGGGAACTGAACCTGGGTCCTTTGCAAGAGCAGCAGGTGCTCTTGACCATTGAGCCATCACTCCAGCCCCTGATTTTGGGGCTTCCAAGACAGTTGCACTCTGTATTTTAAGTTGTATTGGAACTGGAGCTGGCCTCAAACTTTCAGTGACCCCTCCTGTCTCAGCCCTCAAGGTGCTGGGGTTACTCAGTGAGCCACTAATCCTGTTTGCCTTAAGTCTCCCAGGTAATGAATAAAAATCTCCTTGGGAGTCAGTGAAATGACTCAGAGGGTCAAGGTGCCTCGTAACCAAGACTGTGAACCTGACTTTTGATGCCAGGGACTCATGTGGTAGAAGGAGAGAACCGACTCCCACAAGCTCCACACACACACACACACACACACACACACACACACACACACACACACACATCTATACTCACAAATAAATGTAATAAAGGTCTCTTTGGATGGAGGATTGAAATAAACCCTCATCCACTGTCTCCGTATAGAGAGAAGACTAAAGAACAGCTGGCAGCCCTCAGGAAACACCATGAAGAAGAGATTAAGCACCACGAGGAGGAGATTGAGCGTCTGCAGAAACAGATTGACCGGCACAAGAAGAAGATAAAAAACCTGCATCACCATCATCATTAAATGCATGTGGCCCCCACAGAATGGCCTGCATTATTCCCCACTTCTGTAGAGACGTGATTCTGAGTGATTAATACTTGGTCTGTGTGCTACTAACAGATAATAAATTCTCACCAGTAAATCATGTCTGAAGCGTCTGATCTACAGAGGGTGGTAGGGGGACAGACACTACTCCTCCAATCAAGTGAATTAGGCAGGACTCTTCTAAGTAGAGTGAGGAGAGGAGATGACACAGACCTGAATTTAATCAAAGGATGCAGATAAATTTTGAGATATAACTCCCAATCCAGTGCATGAAGCTTAGGAGCAGTGTGGCGAGCAGAGGAAAGACTATTTCCAAGGACCAGAAATAATAGCATCGCATTACTTGAAGGGCTATCAACTAGCTATTGCTCTAATTTTGCAAACTGAGACAACTGGAATTAGAACTCATATGCGAGCCAGGCAGTGGTAGCACAAGCCTTTTAATCGAAGCACAGCCAGGACGACACAGAGAAACCCTGTCTTGAAAAAAACAAAAGGAGCCCTGGCTGTTCTTCTAGAGGACCTAGACTCAGTTCACAGCACCTGGCTCTGGTGGCTCACATATAATTCCCGTCCCAGGGTATCTAACTCGCTCTTCTGTCCTCAGACACTGCACATGTGCACAGACAGACACAGAGGAGAAACACCAATAATGCATTTTTTCAAATGAGTTTTTTTTTTTTTTTTTTTGAGACAGTGGAGTTTTCGATGCCTGTCCTGGATCTCACTCTGTAGACCAGGCTGGCCTCAAACTCGCAGAGATCCGCCTGGCTCTACCTCCCGACTGCTGGGATTAAGGTGTGTGCCACCGCTGCCTGGCAGCAAACTCTTAAAAAAGGTATAGTCTGGACTGAATGAGCCTATGCCTCAAAAAAGGAAGAAGAAAAAAACACACAGGCTGGACTGTAATGCCTAGGCATGCATTAGAGCCTGAGTATGATCCCAGCACTAGGCATTGAAAAAATTGCCAGGGAGCTGGAGAGATGGCTCAGAGGTTCAGTGCATTGGTTGCTCTCCTGAGTTCAATTCCCAGCAACCACATGGTGGCTCACAACCATCTGTAGTGAGATCTTATGCCCTCTTCTGGCCTGCAGGCAGACTACTGTATACATAATAAGTTTAAAAAAAAAGAGAGAGAGAGAGAGAGAGAGAAAGTTGTTAGGAATAATCCAGTATTACCTATACTCAATATAGAGTTTTGGGCCCAGATTTTGTTTGGGGGGTGGGGTGGGGTGGCGGCTTGAAGTCAAGGAAACCAGAGCTTCCTGATTGTGTGTGTGTATAACTTTGTGAAAATTATGACTCACAGCATTTTTATTACAGTATGCTGAAATGAAAGACACAGTTGGTTTGTTTTTCTGAGACAGAGTCTCATTATTATAACTCTGTCTGGTCTGGAACTCACTATGTAGCCCTGGCTGTCCTGGAACTTATACTATGTCGACCAGGCTGGCCTCAAACTCAGAGATTTACCTGCCTCTGCCTCAGAGTATGGGGATTAAAGTCATATACCACCACAAGTATTAAATAATAGCAAAATCCTGTTCAAGTCATGTAAAGTCCTAAACACAAACGGCACAGTTGTAAGATTCACATGGGATTCCAGCCCCACTCCACCCCTCCATTGAGGCATGTTTAGAAAACTCCACAAGCCAGTGCCATTAACATCACTCGGGGACTGATCAGAATGAAATTCTCAAGCTGGGAACAAAACCTGCTTAAACTAGAAAAAGGATGGATATACTATTTTTGTTTGTTTGCACTTACTTTTGTTTTCTTAAGAAAATTTTTTTAATGTAGCTGAAGATGACCTTGAACTCCTGATTCCTGCCTCCGCCACTCAAGTGTTCAGATGACAAGCATGAGTCACCACACTTGGTTTTGAAACAGTGTTGGAGTTGTATCCTCAGTGTTTCCTTCAAGATCCTGTTGACCAAGCTACAGCCCCAGCCCTTGGGAATTTCATGTGTGTTGGTATGTGGATGTGGATGGGTTTTGTTTTGTTATTTTTATTTTTTTAAAGATTTATTTATTTATTATGTATAGTGTTCTGCCTGCACATATGCCTGTAAGCCAGAAGAGAAGGTGCCAGATCTCATTACAGATGGTTGTGACCCACCATGTGGGTGCTGGGAATTGAACTCAGGACCTCTGGAAGAACAGCCAGTGCTCTTAACCTCTGAGCCATCTCTCCAGCCCTGTTTTGTTTTTTAAATGTGACATGTATAGAATGTTTGCACCGGGCGGCGGCGGC